GTTCCTCATGGAATCTAAGCATAATAATCAGACAGTTTTCCCTGGGTCTCTAGGCTTTTATTTCTGAAGTCTCCCACCTCACGTAAATTGATTAAATAAATTGTTATGCTTTTTTTCTTGTTAACCTGACTTGTTATAGATGACCCTTATGATGGGGAGGAAAGGTATCACACCCTCCCTCCCCGGTAGTCTTTTCAATAGACAGCGCTGAGACAACAGGATAGCTACATGCAAGAGTGAAGCTGGGCACTTATCTCACCATATACAAAATTAAAAATAGATCAGAGGGCCTGGGGCTGTGGCTCAGTGGTAGAGCGTTTGCCTCTCATGTGTGAGGCACTGGGTTTGATCCTCAGCACCACATAAAAATAAATAAATAATAAATAAATAAATAAATAAAGATATTGTGTCCATCTACAATTAAAAATATTTTTAAAAAATAGATCAGAGATCTAAATGTAAGAGTCAACATTATAAAACTTACAGAAAAAAACATTGAGATAAGTCTTTATGACCTTGGAAATGGCAATGGATCCTCAGATATGACACCAAAAGCACAATCAACAGCAATGCTTGTTATCAGATGGCGGGACTCTTGGCATTCATAAACTCAAGAGCCAATTCTTATACTAAGTCTCCCCTTAGGCTTACCTGATTAATATCTGTAATGTCTTGCTGGCGTGCTCTGTTGAAGACTCTGAAGTGGTAAATGAAAAGCAGAATAGTCTGTGGTTAAAACACCCACTCATATATCACTCCATATCATCTGAGGCCCAAACTTGTCCTGGCCTAGATTCCTTGCTGTCAAGTGGAGAAGATATATTTACCAGAAAAAAATTCAGGGTGTTTCGTTTTGGTGCATGTTGTCTGGCATTGCCAAGCCCGGTACATTTTCTTAAATTAATTCTAAGGATTCTTCCATCTGTGGACATAAGCTCTGTGATAGTTTGCATCTTGAATATCCCCAGAAAGCCCCGGTATTAAAGGATTAATCCCCAGTTTGGTGTTGTTGGAAGGTGGGGCCTAGTGGAAGGAAGTTAGGTCATGGGGGTGTGCCCTTGGAGGTCTGGGAGGAGCCTGCATACTCCCTCATCTTTATCCCTCTTTGTTTTCCAGTTGCCATGAGGTGAGTGGCTTGTTCTGCCCAATGTGCTCCTGCTCTGCTATGTTACATCACCAAAGGCCCAAAAGCCATGTGGCCAGCAGACATGGACTGAAACCTCTAAACGGTGAGTCAAAATAAAACTCCCCCTCTTTAAATTGATTTAGCTCAAATATTTGTTACAGTCACAAAAAGCTGACAAACAGACAAACAGGCCTTTTATTAGAATGGCCTGTACAGTTTTAGAGCCCTTTTACTTATTGACTCAGGTATTTCTTACCACAAATCCTAACGTTAGTTCATTCCTAACAGTGGAATCAGAAACTTGACCTGTAATGGATGCTGTTAATACCATCTGTCTTTAATTCCTCCAATTTCCCATTCCTTAGTACAAATCTCTGGAAAAGTCATGGAAGGGAAAAAAAAATGTGTAGTCTGGCTTGACTAGATGTGCCATCTACGAAGGGCGTGTGTCTCTGCCTCAAGTCGGACATAGGTCGAGCAGTGTGGACCATGCTTATCTAGAGGTAGGTTTCCTTTAGGAGGCTGTTAATGGTCCTTCGTATGCTTATATCAGCACATGACAAAGTGTTCTTTGAAGCCCTCAAACATACTGGGAACCTCAGCATAAAAGGAATGAGCAGCCAAGGTAAAGATTATGTTATATTAAGACTCTGAATTGTGCTGACTCTACAAACTCAGGTGAGACTCTCAGGCAGTAGTTTGACTCTTTGGCCAACATCATGGGAGAAACATTCAGGCTGAGGGACTTCTCTTTCCCCTTGGACTCTCAGTGCTAATATATGTCCCATTTTGATGGTAATGGCTGAATTTGTGCTGAACATTTTTGCTTTAACAGATTGAAAATAACAGAAATGAATTTATATGATTTTTCCTAATGCAAAATGAATATTCGATTCCCGTTGCTATTAGTCATGACTCTTTATCTTTTATTTGATGTGCATCAATATCTTCATTTGTGAAAAACTCAAGGGCCACAAACCAGCAGAAACACAAAGAACACTTATTGGTTTTTGTTTTCCAAGCAGTTTCATTTCAGAACTATTATAATAACATTTTTTTCTTTTTTGTTTTTAATTTTATTTTAATTTTATTTTAGAAACCTATAAAAGTGTTAAAGAGGATATATCTCCCTTCCTATACCTCCTCTGACTTCTAGAAATGGCCAAATATCTCATTAATATAACTATTTGAAAATATGAAATCAAGTGAAACAAATCTCACAACTTAAAAGGATAGAAGAGTTGAGGTTGGCAAAAACACCGTGACTGAACTGAAATTCAGAGTCCTTACTATGATAGGCTTCTCTTCCAGGTATTGGAAATCTATCATGCTTTCCCTCTTTATGAAAAGGCATTTGGCAACCATTTGTCAACTCTTACAATAGAACTCTCGTGAGTGAGGTTTGGCATGCACAGGAAGATAACGTGCATCTCCTGGGAAGCCAAGTTATCATGACGACTAACCAACTCATGCAAATAACAGAGAACAAAGAAGTATATCTACCTGGGAAATCCAGAAACCTGAAGGAAAAAAGGACAAAGTAGTGGCCAAGGTGCGTGGCAGTCATCGTCCAAGAAGACTCCAACTCTCCCTCCTTGTATTTACGCCATTGAGTAGGCCTGACCTACTGAGAACCAGGAGGATCTCATTGTCATGATGATTTGTGACTTCCAAGTTTAGGTCATAAAAGATATATGACTTCTGCTTTGCTCTCTCATGGACCCCGGGGGGATGCGAGTTACCATGTTGGGAGCTCATTCAAACAGCCCTGTGGTATGGTGGTGAGTTGTTGATATTAATCTGTAAGTCAATTTTTGGAAAAGTACTGAGTAATCTTGTGCTGGTTGTATAACATTAAACACATGATTTAATGCAAGAAATTAGACCTACATACCTCAGCATGGCTGCTTTTTGTTTTGTTTTGTTTTGGGTACCAGGGGTTGAACCCGGGGAAACTTAACTACTGAGCCACATTCCTGGCCCTTTTTATTTTTTTGAGACAGGGTCTTGGTAGGTTGCTTAAGACCTCACTAAATTGCTGAGACTGGCTTTGAGCTTGTGATCCTCCTGTCTCAGTCTCCCAAGCCACATGGCTAGATCTTAAAACTCTTTGTCAGAAATAGAATGCAACAAACTCATGAAAATAAAAATTAATATAACAACAATACACATTTTGCAACAACACATTTAAAGACACACATAAAACACATGAAAATGTTTGTTTATGGCAATGAGGAAAAAAATGAATGAGGTATGGAGATAAAAAAGAACAAATTCAGCAACAAAGGAGATCTTAATTGAGGATGTGGTCAATTAATTTTTTTACACTAGAGGTCCAAAACTAAAGTTAAAGAAAAAAGGCTCGAAAGGTAAATCTAGATAGTGAAAAGAGAAGCATATGAACGAGTGATAATAAAAGAGAAAAGTAACATTCAAAGACACTCTGGTCAAGTTTCAAAACAAAGAGTAGTCTGTGTACAGAGCTGGTTATTATTCTGGGCATAAAATCATGTAATTAGTGGAGTACGAAGAGGGAGAGTTTAGCTGCCACTCAACAACTTCCTGATTTTGGCTTCCACGATGGGGTCTCTTCATTTTTATCTAGGGAATGCAGTTTTGCAACACTAAACTTCTTGTTGAATGAAGAAGGGTTATGAAAAAGAGACTTCGAAAATAATATGTCTTTATTTTCAAGGACTTCTTTGGCTGCTTCTCATAAATCACCAAGTGTTGCCTACTGAGTTATCTGGTGCAATGCTAAACCAACTCTTTTGTCGATTGTCTAGAAAGCGAATAGCCAAATACCATGGGAAAAACTATTTAATTCTAATTTTCCAAAATCTTTTAAATGAGATTTTGATCTGACATTTAGTTCTATTATAACAACTTTAATTGTATTTTATATTTTAAAAAATAACAGATGAATACCAAAGAAAGATTTAGAAATCCATTTCTTATTGCAGCACTCTACTATAAAAGCAGCTTTTATTTCTTTGGGTTCTCTTCCAAGCTTTATGGATTGGCCTCCTGAGCCTCACATTTCATAAGCACAAGAAGCCACGGGGGAAGATGGTAGAAAAGGCGGTTTTTCCATTCAACTTTTGTAAAGTCTGAACAATAGTCTCAACCTTGTGAAGATTTCAATACAGAGTATGAAAAAAAAATGAGATGATTCTTAACTTCAGGGAAATTATACACTTCTGGAATGGATAAGGATTACCATATCATAAATACCCACCTCCAGTCTTAAACTGAGGTTTAACTGACAAATAAACACTATATTCTTAAGGTACACAAGGGGATAATGTGAGATATGTTATGGTTCAGATACGAGGTACCCCTCAAAAGTTCATGTGTGAGACAATGCAAGAATTTTCAGAGGTCAAATGAGACGATTATGAAAGGTATAATGGAATCCATGGGTGAATCCTCTGATGGATTCATTGGATGTAATTGTAGGCAGGTAGGTTGTGGCTGGAGGAAGGAAATCACTGGGGGTGTACTTTTAGGGTTTATATTTTGTCCCAGTGGGCAAGAGCTCTCTCTCTCTCTCTGCTTCCTGGTTGCCATGTCCTGAGCTGCTTTTCTGCACGGTGCTTTTCTGCACGGTGCCTTTCTGCCATGATGATCTGCCTCACCTTGGGCCCAGAACTATGGAGTTGGCTGACCATGTACTGAACCTCTGAGATTGTGAGCCCAAATAAACTTTTATTCCTCTAAGTTTTTCTTGTCAGGTCTTTTGGTCACAGTATCAAAAAGCTAACGAAAACAGATGTTTCCCCCAAAGGTCCCATGTTAGTGCAGTCATCTTCAGAGGTAAAACAATTGCATTCTGAGAGCTGTAACCTTATCAGTCCACCCTATTTTGAATGGACTGGGTGGTAACTGTAGGCAGTTGGCATGTAGCAGAAGGAGGTGAGTCACTGGGAGTGTACTGTGGAAGGTTTCATTTTCCTTATGGTCCCCTTCCCCACTTCCCTCTCTCTGATTTCCAACTGCCATGTCCTGAGCAGCTTCCTCTTTCTGACTCTTCCTCTATGATGTGCTGCCTTACCTTGGGCCCAGAGCAATGGAGTAGGCTTACCATGGACTAAATCTCTAAAACTGTGAGCCAGTAAACTTTCCCCTTCTAAGTTGTTCTTCTCAGGAACTTTGGTCATAGCAGCACAAAGCTAACACAATGTACATGGTGAAATTATTACTTTAATCAAGCTATTTAACATATACATCAACTCACACAGTTTTTTTTTTTTTTGGTCCATGTATGGTGAGAATGTTTAAGATCTCTTATTGAATTCCAAGTATATAATACAGCATTATTAACTATAGAAACTGTGTTATACTTTAGATCCTCAGAACTCGTTTATCTTATAACTGAAAGTTTGTATCCTTTGACCAACATCCATCCATTTCCTCCATACCCAGATCCTGGCAACCACCATTCTACTCTTTGCTTCTATGAGTAATATATTTTTAGATTCCACATGTGAGACAATGCAGCTTTTGTCCTTTGGGTTTAGCTTACTTCACTTAGCATAAATTTTCCACATTGTGCCACATGGCAGGATTTCCTTCTTTATTGTGGCTGAATAATATTCTACATAGTACATATTGTACAATATACACAATATACAATATACACACCACATTTCCTTTATCCATTTATCTATTGATGGTTACTTAGGTTATCTTAACTATTGTGAATAATGCTGTAATAAACATGGAAGTGCAAATATCTCCTTGGCATGCCGATTTCCTTTCCTTGATATATACAATAAACACGGAAGTAGGCTTACTAGATCATATGGTAGTTCTACACTTAATTTTTTGAGGAACAGCCATTATGTTTTCCATAATGTCTGTACTAACAATCACGAAAAATTAGAGGCCTGTTCTGCCTGGTGATGTTGATGCCCAATTGCATAGACCCTCGGCCTGCCTCTGAGTTCACCTGTGGTCACAGAAGGCAGTATCCCTCATGTTGGCAGCGTCACCCTAGATTGACATCTCTCTGTTTCTCCATCCTCTCTCCTTTTCCATAATAGCTTGTATACAGGTAAGATCCAGAAGGGCTGAGGATTTGACATCTGTGGCTAAACTTCAAGCTCTGTGTCCCCAGTCCTCAGAGACCCCATGGAATTAGGTCCTGTTGCTTTCAGTGATAACTTGCTCTTTAATGCACCATCTACTAGCTTGACCCTTCCCTGTGTAGCTTTACCCCCTCCCTCAAGTGTGTTTCCTAAGATCATATCCTAATTAAGTTACCTTCACTCAAGTTATTGTTTTAGGGTTTGCTTTGGGAGAATCCTCCAAAAACCTATCAAAACAGAAAATAGTAAAATGCAAAAATGTGTAAAAACAAACTTTTCCTCATCAGCCTACAACTTTTCCTCCCTTCAGCTCTTCTGCTCCTTCCCAATTCCCTAGTTGCAGCAAAAGTCATAAAACCCACAGGTTCCCACTTGCCTGACTTCTTGCTGGTTGCCCTTGACCATTTGAGATGCTGGCTGAGAATGAGGCTGCATGGCTGACAGCCCTTGCCTTCTCCTCTTCATAGTAAATTTAAGCTTGGCCTTTCTAGCTTAGACCGTGACACAGTTCAAACACATCTATTCTAGATGTGATAGATTTTGGCAAGTATCCAGCAGTATGATAACTTTGTCTTTTTTCCCTTTACTTTTTCCCCAGATCTACTCATTTTCCCCAGATTTACTCATTTCTGTGGTATGTCTAGAGTATATTAGGGGCTGGGGGTACCCCAACACATAAGACTGTCATAGTCCAAGCCCTCACACTGCTTAATGTGCAGGGTATTACTTAGCAGGTGTTATATGTGATATGCGAACGTCATGAGAAATACGACAGGCTGTGGATGCACAAAGGAGACTGTGGAACTACGCCTGACTTGGGGACATTGAAGAAGGAGTTTTAAGCTTCTTGAAAAGCCCAAAGAGAAGGATGTGGAGGAGGCAAATTGAGTATTGCTCAAACGAAGAGTGACAGCTGGGAAAGACTCAGCTGCAGCGTTAAAGACGGCCCAGACTATGAGGAACCTTGTAAAACCTTATTAGGACTTTATCCTAAAAAGTCTCCTAAAGGGATTTTAAGCTGGAGAGACATGACCCAATTTGCATTTTAAAAATTATCTCTAACTGCAATGAATGGATTTGGAAGGGACCAAACTTGACAGAGTAATTAATCCAGATGAGGTGATGGCGAACAAGATGAAGTAGGAGGCGGCACTGGGTGGGGCTGAGTGGGGATAAGTAGAAGAAACCAGGAGACATTTAAACAAGGGAATTGATGACTTGATGACTGATTAGATGGAGAGGGTGAGAGGAACAGAAATCAAGATGATAATTATTTTCCAGTTGGTAGTTGGTGTACTATGGGGCTGGTTCCTAATATGGAGAACAACAGAAGGAGCATTGTGAGAATATCAGGTTGTGGGTGGGAAGAGAGTGTTGACCATTTTGGGATGGCTGCCATTTTGGATAGGCTATGTGGTTGACTTGCATGTGGGAAAAACAGATGAAGATATTTAACCCCCCAGATATGTGTCTGGAGCTTAGGAGAGAGATCTGGGCTAAATGTGGGCACATAGATGACAGTGAAGCCCTGGGAGTCATTGGGATTGCCTGGGCATTATGTAGAACAAAATAGAAGGTCAAGCCAGAACTAATGAGGTGAAGTAAAGAAAGGGGAGCCTATGAAGTGGCACCCCCTTTCTCCACAGAAAAGTTTCTTGACTGGGGTTCTCCAGAAATCTTCACCATGGCTGATTTTAGGACTGTCAGCATAAGAGTCTCTGCAAAAGAGTTCAATGTAGATAAACTTCCTATTTTAGTGTCTCCCTGTTTTACTTGGCCACTGGCCAGGAAGATACCAG